GAATGTTCCTAAGTATTCACCTTTCCTCAAGTTATGGGCTCTTTGGAAGTGCTGAACTCAGTCAATCGCTATACACTCCATACATGTCTATTAATGACAGGGCTCAGAAAGCACTGAATTAGAAGACTCTGCAGCTGGCCTTATAGCTTTATATTCCCTGAGGCACAGTTGCACTTTTTCAAAGATGAAACTTGTGGCAAAATTAAAACACACTTTAATTATGTTTTTTTAAGTTTTGAAATTTCTGGCATTTGTAAACCCTTCTTTAACTCACTCCCAGTTGCCCATAAATTCACAAGAATCTGTAAAAACTCCAATTCAAGGCAAACTCAGTTAGGTGCTCTTAAGAAATGCCTACAAGTTGTTGTTATGCTTAGCCCAGCTCTGGCCTCAGCAACTCATCTGTACCCTTCTGGATTTCCTGTTTCCTTTTCTGTCTTGAAAAACTGTCTGTGGCTTATTCACCTACCACTTTGCAACAGACTTGTGAGGTACTTTACTGTCTTTTCAATGAATTTTCCTTTTCCTATTCTCTTACATTGCTGTACTGTACCTACTTTGATTGATACTTCTTCCTGACCAGCTGTGTCCAGGGCCTTTTAATTGTTCCTTTGTCTGAGATCTGGTGGTTCCCAAATCTGCTCAAAATGTTATCTTGGTTTCAGTTGTTTTGGCAAAGCCCTTTTTAAACAATGAGTGACAGATAAAAATGCAATTATTTGAATTAATGTGTACTGTCAAATTTAAACTTAGCTTTCTGGTCTGACCTGCCTCCTTTTCTTTCATTGCCTTTGTTTTTGACCAGTTTTTATATTGACTTTGCAAAAGACCCCAATGTGCCTGCATGAAGGTCACTTTATAAATGTAAATTTATTTGACAAATGATTTCTCTGTGAACTAAGGTCTTAATCGCCTTCTATGAGAAATATGAGAAGCAGAGTTTTGGAGTAAAAATTTTAACAGCTACTTCTAACTACCTGCATGATCTCATTCAGTAACTTTCTTTAGTTCTGTTCATCCTATTATGTGATTATGTGCAACTGCAGGTT